GGATCAGAAAGAAGTCATCAAAGGCAGCCGCCCACCTCCCCCTCGGGTCAGGCAGTGAGTCACTGAGGTGCTGGGCACAGCTGTGTCAAAGGAGCTGACACCTCCAACATCGGTGCTGGCGCTTGATCTGCTCCTCCAGTAAAAAGGAGATCCATCAGCAGCTCCACTGCGGGACACAAATGCCGCAGACAGGCTCTGGATGGATAAAGGTGGCTTTTAATCATGCATTCGCCGTTTTTACCAGCCACAAGTGCAAGAAGACAGCTCGGGGTGTTCCCTGTCTGGCATCAAGGTGATTCCTTGCTCACATTCTTGCTCCTGCAAGAAATGACCAGGAGATCGAAGCTCCCCTCTGGATCATGAAGCTGGGAAAAGCTGTGTGCTGAAGCAGAGCACATGGAGGAAGGATGCTGGGAGCCAGTCTTGTGCTTCATTCCCATGATTTAGAAACTGCTCTCTCAGTTTCATAAGCTCCTTATGGACCTGTTTTTACTATTCTAAACAGTCACTTTCCCATCCTTAAATAATCTCTATTTCACTCTATTTTAAAATTATTCCTTTTTCCTCACCACCATTTCCATGTTTCCTTTGCTATGTTCCCAGTGGGTCTGACACTTCTACATTAATAGAAGACAGTGACCTGTGATAAAAATACACTTTTATGGAGTGCTTGGGCAGGAAGCATTACAGGACCTGAGCAAGAAATAAAAATACAATAAAGCATATGAAAATCCAGCTCCAATGGATTCATTGCCACAAAACCAGAAACAAGTTAGCAGACACCTTGGCAAAGACTCAAATCATTTTCTGTACAACATTCATGGAAGCAGACAAGGGTCAAAAGCTGTTGCAAAGTTGTTTGGAACAAGGAAAATAGTAACTGAACAGAGATGACACACTTGGACATTCCCGCATTTTTTAAGTTAAAGTAAAGAGATGGGGTCAGAGCTGAAAAATCACCTGTGAGGGTTTATACAACAGCACTGGGTCTATTGGGCAGGAGTGTCCCAGTAACAGATCAGAGAAGAGCAGGTTGTCTTCATACCACCCAGAAATCCCCTGCTGAAGTGCAGGCCAGGGATTCTGCACCCTCAGCCATGATGGGGAGAAGATGAGAGACGAGGGGAGAAGATGCTGGGAAGCAGAACTGGCATCCAGGGGCCAATTTGCAGTGCAAGCATTGATCTTCCAGCTCACAGCCCAAAACTGAAAGCACTGCACCAGTGTGCTTCCAGCTCTCCAGGGTACACCTGGGAACACAAAAGGGTCTTCCACACCAGCTCTGCCTCGACATACCCTGGCCAGATTACACTGAGATACCCAGGACAGAGGGTAAAGAAGCCATCCAGGACCAAACTGGAGAAATTTACTCTCATGAGCATCCACAAGCACAGGAGAATCCATATGCGTCTGCAGACCTACTGCTGGCCAGAGTCCAAAGACCATACACTTCCTCTTGACTAGTAACAGTGATGAAGCTCCAGAGCTTCATCTGCCTCCTTGCAGAGCCTTTTCCTCTGGGGCAGGAAATGCTTGCTCAGCCTGCAGGAGAAGGAGATCCTGGAAGAGTCAGTGTAGGCAGCTGCCTTTTGTGGTAGCAAAAGCAGCACAATCTCGGACCCTGAGGGCTTTTACTCCTGCTGGGAAAGCAAAGGCTAAACAAAACTATAGACTGGAGCTGCCTATTTCTCCTCTTGGAAATTCAGCTGCCAGTCCCACAGAGCAGCAGGAAAACTCACATTAATTTCCTCAGAGATTTTTATCACCTCAGTCTTGGCATGGGAGAGGCATCTCCGCCCAGCTGTGAGCAAGCAAGCGCATTTTGCCGTCTTTTTTATGTCTTTTTTATGTAATCAGAGCAAATTCCTCGGAGATGAGTCACGGGGCTTCAAGGGTGTCCAGAGAGATGTCAAGCAGCCTCAAGTGTAAATCAGTGACACACCTTGCTGAGAGGACTCAGGCTTGCCAGCAGGCCTATTTCCCTTGCAGACACCAGGCAAGGGAAGGGGCTCTCAGATGTCACCAGACAGGCTCCCACACACGTGTGGCACCTCCAGACCCAGGAGACTGCTGGTGTTTACATTTCCTCTGTAAAGACAGTGATGGTTTCAGGGTGGAGCTGGAGTGCTTCCCTGCAGCTGCTCTCTAGCATTAAACACTGAAGATTTTTGGACATTCAGGCTGGAGGAGCTTGGCATTCAGCGAAGAGATCTGAACTTCAGAAACAGAGGTTCTGCCCCACCAAACCTGGTCAAACTGCAGGGGTTCCTGCCTGGGATGTTCATTATTGTGGAACAGCTGTGATGAGGCAAGGTTAAGCAAACCTGCTCCCCTTCCCTGCCCAGGAATGAGTACTCCAGGCTCCATGAGTCTGCAGGCCAGAGGACAAAGATGATGCTTGCATAATTTCAAGGCACAGCCTGCTTTAGTGCTCCTTTAGATGCTGAAAGGTAGAGGAGGACCAGAATGAACATAATCCCAGAGGTCCAAAGTAACACTGAGGAAAACGCTGTGGATGCCCTTTGGGCCTCTGAGTGTCAGAGCAGATGGAACAGACAAAGACCTTGGTGGAGCTGGGTTCTGAGTCACTATTTCACTAATGCCAAGGGCAAGGTTTGGCACAAGGTATCAGTGCAGGCCAGCCTCCCCATTTGCAAAGTGCATGCAGATTTTTCTTCAAGCAGGGTGTGCAAGGTGCTTCCAGTCTGGAGAGGGCCAAATCTCTATTTGTGCATTCTTTGAGGGCAACTGCAGAAGACATAACCCAGCTATTATGCCCTTCACCTTTCAACTTCACCCTCAGGTGACTAACAATTACCAGCTACCATTAATATTAAACGGGAGAGAAAGAAATGCGATCCTCTCTCTGCTCTTCACATTCCACAATATCACAAACAATTTGTCATATTGGGAGGGGCAGAGGCGGGAGGAGCATTAATTATTGATACTTGGGAACAGATGGCTTTTCTTGTACCAGGGCAGTGAAATGTAAGAGGAGCTGTGGGTGAGGATGTGAGGATTAGATGGGCAGACACGTATCAGGTAACCAGGCTTCAAGTGGAACGGGAACCTTCCTCCTAGAACCAGCTCCTCTGGCCTGCAGAGCTCTCAACAACAGCCTTGTCTGCAGAAACAAATCCACTGACATCTGAACTAGTGAGGCTTCACAGAACCTTTCAACGCTCCCTCACCTCTGTACAGAACATCCCGGACACGATGACTGACAGCTTCCAGACAGCAGAGGCCTGGCAAATCAGGCACTAACTGCTCTCTCCAGGAGACCTTACTGGTTGCATTTCATGTGTTCATCCTCATCTAACTGCCCTGTGCCATGCAACGTTTATTCCTGAGACCACACACAATGTCCAAGAGTGACTTCCTCCTGCCTTCCAGTGGCGTTTGGATCCCATTCAGGGTGCTGGTCTCCAAAATCAGAGATCCAAGTGGTCTGGACTAGTGACTTCAACCAGAGACTCTGTTATCCAACTGTTTTTGCCAACCAGCTGTAATGAATCAGACCCGGGCCTGTGGAGGCCAGGGTGCTGTCTCTCTGGCAATGGTTATAAGCAGATGCCCAAGGAAGAGCCAGAACCAGGCAAGCCAATGGTTATACCTCCTCTACTGCTGCAAAAATTACATTCCTTGGCTATTTTCTATTCAGGGATTTCACAAGCCAGACCACCTCTGTACAGAGTGACTCAATTCAATTTTCCTCTCTGGACGCACCCCTCAAATTCTGTAAATGAGCACTCACTTTCCCAGCCAGGACTGATTAAATCCAGGATTATGTCACTGACCAAGGCAGACCCTCTTGCTACCTCCACAAGCCCAGAAGGTACCTAAAGACCACAATGTCCAGTCCCTCGATATACTAGGACTTCCTCACAGTCTTTTCCCAAACTCACTGTTTTCTCCTGGCCTCTCCTAAGAGCCTGTTCCAAAGCCTCATTACTCTTGATAATTAGACACACGCTTCTCATTTCTCAAGTTGACTAATCACTGATTTATAATTCCTCTCAGTCTGCCTAGGGTCATGCAGCCTGCAGCCTGTGAGAGTACCAAGACACGTACAATCTTGTGGTTTGGAAAAACACAACTTCCCAGGTTCCCTCCTAGTCTGGAGCAATGGTAAAGTGCTTGAGGTGAACAAATGCCAAGTGCCAGGAGACAGCTACTGTCCATGAACAATACAACTTTTCACAGCATGGAGTAGGATAGAGAAACTTTCCCTGCCAAGGAGACAGTGAAGAGGGAGAAGCAATTTTAGAAAGATCTGGGCCTCATCTGTGCTGGGAAAGAACGAGCTCCACCAAAAAAGCAGCAAACCTCCCCACTACAGAAGCTTTGACCAGTGTCCCAAGTTTGCTCTAGTTTGGTACCAGAAATGGACAGACCTGAAGGCACCTAACTGCTCCATTATACCAATAAGAGAGCTTTTGTTCATCAAAAAATGCTGTTTGTATCACTGTGATAGTACCAGAAAGTGTTTCTAGTGTGCATCTCTTTACAAAGCAGTGTCTGCAGAGCCCTGATATGTGAACTGCTGCTGAACAGTCCTCTGAGAGCTGCACGGGCTGATCTCACCTTCCCATGTTTCACAGGGCCTGAAGAGGGGATCACCTCACAAAAGAAGCCTATGGATCAGAGAGCAGTACAATGGATCAAAAATCAGGAGAGGTCACATCTTTTCAGCCCCAGAGCAGAACTGCTCCCTTTCACCCTTCTTGAGTTAACATTTATGTGAATCTTTTCCCTGCTGCTCAAAGAAGGAATTACATTATATACACATTCCAGAGAACTTTTCCCAGCAGTAATAACCATTTTTAACATACATTGCGCTTGGGAGAATGTCTAGAATTTTACAGGCAAATGCATGGGTGGAGCTGTGTTTCTGACCCACACAGGAAAGCTGGAAGTTGACATCACCATCCCAGTCAGGCTCTGGAATCGGGGTGGCCGGCGGGCTTGGCAGGAGGATGTGCTTGGCAGGAGCTCCCTACCTCTTTGATGGCAGACATCTTGATGGTCTCATAGTAGTGCAGGGGTGCATTGGGTGAACTCATGTCATAGCCAAACCCAGCTACCGCCACCTCATCACAGTTGTGGAGCGCCATGGTTATTGCTACGCTTCCCAAGGTGGGGATGTTCTGAGAGGAGAGAAAGCAGGAATGGAAGTCATTAGCAGGTTGCCATTTTTATAATCAAAGATTTCCTCTTATTGTCCCTGCTCACAGGGGCACTGCTGCTACTAAACAGAAAACCAGAAACACGGTATTTGGTTATATCTGCACGTCAGCTGCCCAGTGTCAGCTTGGTGGGGTCAACAGCCTCCCAGCTTGTAAAGAAACTCATGCATCAGCCAGCTTCCTGTGAATCATCTAACCCAAAAGCAGCAGCTCTTGTTTGAGGCTCTGTGACATGACTCTCCAGGGGAGAGCACTGAAGGGTAGAGGTATTAATGAAGATGGTTAGACTCCCCTTCCACAACTCTGCCATCCTGAGAAGAGGGCAGCAGATGAGCTGGAGGATGAATCACAGTGGATATGTTAGCTTTCCAAAATTAAAACAGATGTAGATATTGGATTACAATGCTATGCACATTATTGGCTTCCAGTTAGGCTAAGGAGGAATACTTATCCCAAACAGGTCACCACACAGGAGCAGAATAAGGAACAGCTTGTTTTACTGATGGTAAAAGCAATTTAAGGTTGTTAAACAGCTCTGGGAGATGGAGAGGAGATAGGCAGAAGTGTAGTCCAAGACCCCTTCCTTTCCCCAGGGGCACTCCAACAGGCAAAGGGCACTCTGGCCTGTGCCATACCCTCCTACCCACAGCATTCTGGGAAGACAAGGAGCAGTGGAAAGCCAGTCAGAGACAGGTGGTAGCACTCCAAGCAGGGACACCCCAACTGTCCTCTCCCATCTGCTGACCTGCCATTTGCACTGAAGTCCAACCTCAGCTCTTCCTGTTTCGCCTGGCTTCTGTCGAGGCCCTGTACAGCTACAACTCCTCCTCTGTGTTCAGATGAACGTGACCACTGGGACAGCCAAGTGTTTCCAGTGTAAAATCCTAGCTCACTGACTCTTCTAGCTCCCCTTCAGCCAGATGAATCCAGAGGCAGCTTTGCCCCGGGGGCTAGGGAGAGGCTGAGAAATCCACCCACGTATCTTATCTTCATTTGTAGAGCATCCAACACCGGCCGTATCAAAAGTATCATGAATTCAGAGGACGTGCTCAGACAGTCACCAAGGGTGACAGCCTCCTAGCTGAGGTATAGAAACCAACTGCACATTTATATTTTTCACTGACAATGGCTTACCCTGAACCAGTGAGCAATGCCACTGCATGTTCAAAAATGCTGGGAACAATGTTCTGAATTTCTGCTTCTCATTCAAAGGAACTGGTTTTTGTCAGCACTTCTGACTGCCTCACCAGTGGGAAGAACAATGTTTTCCAAGCAAAGGATGTTACCCATACTGTATCTGAGATGTGCAGAGCTGGAAGCACAACTCACATGCTACGGAGAAATTCACTATAGTGCACTGGAATTACTCTAATGTGAAGACAAACAGGCAAAAACTGCTTATGGCTAAGTCAGTGAGACATTAAATTAAAACATTTGCAGCACAACTGTGACAGTGAACATCTAAAATGAAAAGACCTTCCTATATCCTCCTGTGCCAGCTCTAGATGTTGGGAAAAACAGCAGAGTCATTTTGTTCTTGCTGCTTAGTTTCAGTTGATACTCCCACAAACAATACTGGTTTTATTCTAGTTACTTTAGTTAATTGTTAATTCACCGGTAGCCAAAAAATATCAAGGGGTTTAAAAACACAGGGGTTTAAAAAAAACTGAAAAAAGTTTATTAGGCAAGGATACAAACATTCCCCTGAATTTCAAAATATCCAAGAACATCCTGTCTTCCCGGACATGGCAGTTTGAATTCAGATTTCTCAGCTCTATTTTGCATATGAGATGACATTTGGATGTCACTGGAATTGCATCAGCTGGTAAGTGAACGTGCCACAAAACCCTTTCCCTCAGCAGAGCTGTAGTTACAGTGTCCAAAACATAGTGAGTAAATGGTTACGTCCTTGAGACTGTGTCGTCATTGGGAATAGGATGGTGTTAACAACCACCCACACTTGCACTGGGCCCATTCCCACGGTACAGCTCGAGGGAGACACAGGGTCTTTGCCTGGAGGGAATTCTACTGGCCAAGCCAAGCTAACATTTAAGAGCTGACTTTCTAATGTGAGTCTTGCAAACCGCAGAGAATTAATCACACTACCCAACCTCACGGGAGGACTGCCAAACAACCGCAACTTTCTTTCAGGCATAATTCTTACTTCTGTTTGGAGAATAACAGAAAACAGAAATCGAGAGTGAACTTTCCTTTGTCACCAAATATCTGCCTGACTTTATTCTATCTATAATACGTTCAAGGTTTTAAGGAAAAATAGGAGCTAATTTTCTCATCTGCTTCTGTTCTTCACTAGTTCCTCACATGCCAGTACTTCAGTACCACCTGCTCTGCTCTCAAAAATAATTAAAATACCAGAGACCATCTACCTACCTAACTTCTTGAACTGTAGTAGATGGATCTGGCTTGGTCCCTACAACTATCAGAGTGTCCTTGCAAAATAGTTTTGCATTGCTCTGAAATCACATTTGGAAACTGATGATCCGATGGCATTTTCTTAATTGAATTATTCCTTATGGATGTTAGCACCCTCCAACACTGTGGTAGCTACAGCCTAGTGTGTATCCCCCCTGAAGGCAGAGATCTGCAGCCATTCCTGCCTTCATTGGTGAGGTGCAGCCTCACATCCCACTGCTGTTTGCACATCAGAACCCTGTGGGCTAGAGAGGAGCACCTCGAAAATACTGTAAATATTATTATCCTTGCTATTCACTGAGGGCAGTAACTGTCAGGGCAGCACAGGGGTGCTTGCAGAGCCCACCTGTAACTAACACTGCCTAAGAGAAGAACACGAGTATAAAATGTGTGTGCACCCAGATCTAATACATATAACTGGGCACTTGCTCCAAACTGCTTATCTTTAAAAAAGAAGTAATCATCAGAGCGATGCAGTAACTGGGGAATTCAACAGCCTTGAAGAAAAAGGAGCTAGCTTGAACAGAAGTATAAAAGAAGCACAATTGTTGGTTAACTAAAGGTTAGTACTTTGGTCCTGACTTGGTTTAAGCTAGGGAAATTGAGCCCTTTTCTCCTGTGGCAGCCTGCTGAGCTTCTGCTAGTCCTTCTCCCTGTTGAAAACGAAGAACTACCTCGGGTCCAGCTTGTAGCATGGGAAAGACAAGGCCTTGTAGGATCTAGGGAGGTGTCCCAGGCTGTGCTGCAGAGAAGCCAACTCAGCAGCATTCTCCAGGTCCAAGGAAAGGACTCTCCTCTCCTCTCAGCAAAGAAGTGGCAAATGACTGGAGCCACGTATCAGAGAAGAAATGGTTATAATTACTCTCTGGCTGCATCTACGCAGCTTCCAAGCTCTCCTGATTGCACACAGGCACATGAATCCGTTGGCTGCAAAGCTCCAATCTGGATCTAACAGGCCATGTACAACCCATGAGGCAAGTTGGGGGACAAGTCACTCCAAAAGAAGTTAGGCATCATGGACATGGCTGTGCCAAATCTGGCTTGCTGTGCCCTGCACAATGCGTCAGTGCTATCTCACCACACACACCCTTGTGCCGTGCCCCAAAGACATACCAAAGCAACCACCACACCTCCTGCATTGAGTTATGAGAACACAACTCTCTCAAACAACCGAGCAGGTCTCTTGCTATTCTAGCCCTTTGCTAAGAAAAAAACCCAAAATTCCAGCATCCTGCCTCAGAAATAACACTCTGGTGTTGGGCCAGCTCAAAGCCTGTCTTCCTGCTCATGGCCGTCTGTGTGCCTGGGTGTTCCTGTATCACCAAGAAATGGTGCTTTCAACCAAATGGTCAAAGAGCAGGAGCTCAACAGTGGCCAGTGCTGAGGCAGGAGCCTCCTGGGATGCCTCCCAGCTGCCCAGAGACTGGCCAGTACAGGTCATGCCATGGCATGGGGCTGCCTGGAGTGGTCCAACAGGACCACTGCTCCAGATGTGGCCATGATGAGTTTTGGACCTGAATAGGTGCCCATCAATCAGTGTGAGCAAAGCCCCAGAAAGCACCGGCAGTCCTCTCCCCCTGTCAATTCCCTGCCATAAGCCTTGAAATTGGCCTTGCAAGCTCTGTATTGCCTGCTGTGTGTCAATTGTTTCTGTCCCAGCTGGGGCCCATGGAGATAACAGGTTCATCATCCTCTCTCCAGTCCTGGTAAACAACAAGGGCAACCTCACTGCATAACATGTCCAGAACTAGAAGTCCACATTTTCAAGCCTGTCCTGCTTGTCTAAGACCAAACATCTGGAAAATGTAATATCTAATATAATGCTCCCCAGGGATCAGCCCTTTGCTTGGTCCCATTTGAGGGAACGCAGCAGACTGACAGATGAGCCAGAGACGACACTAAAAGGCCATGTGACAAACAGAAGCAGCAAACACAGCAGTGGTGAGCAACGTGTCACTGCAGCAGTGCTGGGCAAAGGCTACCTGAGCCTCCAGAGCCTGGCTCCTTCCAAGGGTACACGTCCTCCATGGCTGAGGTGAGCACATGCTTGGTGGATCTTGGTGAGAAAAGCATAAAGACAAGAGAGGCAAAGACTTCTGGTCTTGTGCTGCGTCAGGGACCACTGCAAGCTCTGTGCAGTGCAAACACAGCCAGTCTGCACCACCAGGTCAGGGGACCACAAGTGCTTTTAGCAGTACAGAGATGGGACAGATTCTCCTAACTGCTCCTACACTATTCTCTGTTGCAAGCAGAAAGATAAAAGGCTTTCCCTCAAGACATTGATGTTTCATCTTCCACTGGTCCCCCTGAAGAGGCTTTAAAGGTTGACTTCTACTCACAGAAGTAACATCAGCAGAAATGAACACCAGCCCTCCTCTGGACTCTACTGGGGGTGAGCATCACCTCACAGGATTGTGCTGGAGACCCAGTGCTGGTGACTGAACCTGAGCCGGAACTGCTCTTTGCCTGGTGCATGTGAAAAGCTCTTGCTGCTTTTCATTCCATGCCCGGGTCATTCCTGTGTCACT